CCATGGCTCTGACCTTGTTGTGGGCCTATAGCAGGTAGCTCAGGCACCTGACCACCTTAACACACATGCTAAAGACAAGGATCAGAGAAAGATTCCACACACACACTCGTATGAATGAGAGCAGTGCTCTCTGTTCCCTCTCTTTACTGTACCTACTCCCCTCCCAACATTAATTTGTGCTGTGCTATAAGTAAATGAAGTGCTCTGCTGTCCTGCTACATGCACTCCTACATCAGTGCCTTTTTTTGACCTTTTCTCAGTGTCTAGCCTTTTACTGCTTTTAAAATACATCAACATGCCTTTTTTTCTCAAAGGTTAGCTGTTTTCTATTCTGTAAATCAAGTTTAAGTTAAACATTGAGAGAGAAAAGCTGATTAGAGTAGTGACATTCTATTCGTACCCTTGGGGAAATTGAGTTGTTTTCACATATACAATTTTGCTCTCCATGAAAGACATACAATGTACATGTACAGGTGGCAGCAGTTTTGTGGTCAGAGGACAGAATCAGCTAGTATCTGGCTAGAGCAGTGGGGTGAAGGGTCCTGCTGAAGGGCTCATCAATGCAGTTATTACCCTGCCGGGTACGGGATTCAGACCCGCGTCCCACCAGGTACAGGATTCGGACCCGCATCCCACCGGGCACGGGATTCGGACCCGTGTCCCACCGGGCATGGGATTCAGACCCATGTTGCTCCAGGCACTGGCACAGATTCCAGGGGAGTTATACATTTTTCTGGTGTTTGCAGCTCATCCGAATGACTCAGCCTGAGTTGGTCCAGGACCGTAAGCAGCAGGAAGCTTCATTTCCTGAGGACACACCCCCTGCTATGAAGCATGAGCTGGATGCCAACACTGAGAGCACAGCCACGGCTGAGATGGCTGCTCCCACAGGTTAGCCTCTGCATGTTGGACAAGGCTTCTCCAATGGAGCAGCATGAAATGAAAACAGCTTTCTGTGCTATAGCAGTGTGGTGGTATACAGCAGGCCCCTCCCACAAAGACACAGTCTGTAATACATAACAGGCCCCTCCCACAAAGACAGTCTGTAATACATAACAGGCCCCTCCCACAAAGAAACAGTCTGTAATACATAACAGGCCCCTCCCACAAAGANACAGTCTGTAATACATAACAGGCCCCTCCCACAAAGAAACAGTCTGTAATACATAACAGGCCCCTCCCACAAAGACAGTCTGTAATACATAACAGGCCCCTCCTACAAAGACCCAGTCTGTAATACATAACAGGCCCCTCCCACAAAGACACAGTCTGTAATACATAACAGGCCTCTCCCACAAAGACACAGTCTGTTGTACATCTGTAAGACTTCTCCAGTACTGAGCTGGCCCCTTCCCCATAAAGCAGTGTGTATAGCACAGAGCAGGTCCCTGCCACAATGGCTGGTTATACAGTACAGAGCAGGCCCCTCCCACAATGGCTGGTTATACAGTACAGAGCAGGCTCCTCCCACAATGGCTGGTTATACAGTACAGAGCAGGCTCCTCGGACAAAGGCTGGTTATACAGTACAGAGCAGGCTCCTCCCACAATGGCTGGTTATACAATACAGGTCAGGCTACTCCGAATATGGCTGGTTATACAGTACAGGGTCGGCCCCTCCCACAATGGCTGGTTATACAGTACAGAGCAGGCCCCTCCCACAAAGGCTGGCTATACAGTACAGAGCAGGCTCCTCCCACAATGGCTAGTTATACCAAACAGAACAGGCCCCTCCTACAATTGCTAGTTATTCAGTACAGAGCAGGTCCCTCCCACAAAAGCAGAGGCTGAACTCCCATATGAAGCATCGTTAAAACATGTATCTGCCCTAGTTCTTATTTTTAGAGTTCCTATTGTACCTGTGTTTCTAACAGCTAGACAGTGGCTGATTGTATTCCAATACTGTGCTAACCTGCCTTGCACTGCATATTTAATATCCACTTTCAGATCCTGCAGATCAGCAGAGCCTCCGTGGCCAGCCCCAGACTGCCCACGCCTCGCTGAGTCGGGGCAAAGCCCCTCTCAAGCAGCCAGGGCCCACTGGAAATGCGCCACCCGTCAACAGTCCCAATCCCATTGTTCAGCGCCTGCCTGCTTTCCTGGACAACCATAACTACGCCAAGTCTCCCATGCAGGCCAGTGGGGGCTGAGTGTTATCTGTGCTGAGAAACGGCAGTCATGCAGCGCTTCACAGTGTGGGGTTATGGGTATTGGGGGTTGGGGAGGCTTAAGGGGAATGGGTGGTGTTCTGGTGAGTGGATGGGCTGAAGTGGATTGGGTGGGCTGAAGTTGATTGGATGGGCTTAAATGGATTGAGTGGGGTTCTGGGCATTTGGTGGGGTTCTGGGAAGTGGGTGGGCTTAAGGGGAGTGGGTAATGTTCTGGGGAGTTGGTTTGGTTCTGGGGAGTAGGTGGTATTCTGGGGTGTAGGTTTGGTCCTGGGGAGTGGGCGAGCCTAAGGGGAGTGGATGGTGTTCTAGGGAGTAGGTGGGCTTAAGGGTAGTGGGTGGAGTTCTGGGGAGCAGGTGGTGTTCTAGGGAGTGGGTGGGCTTAAGGGTAGTGGGTGGAGTTCTGGGGAGCAGGTGGTGTTCTAGGGAGTGGGTGGGCTTAAGGGTAGTGGGTGGAGTTCTGGGGAGCAGGTGGTGTTCTAGGGAGTGGGTGGGCTTAAGGGTAGTGGGTGGAGTTCTGGGGAGCAGGTGGTGTTCTAGGGAGTGGGTGGGCTTAAGGGTAGTGGGTGGAGTTCTGGGGAGCAGGTGGTGTTCTAGGGAGTGGGTGGGCTTAAGGGTCGTGGGTGGAGTTCATCATGTTCTCCAATAATTGTTTAATTGTAACTAAAAGGGGTAAAGATAGGTTATATACATGCAAATAAAACCACAAGGAAATTCATTGTAAACAAAACACGGCAGATATTTTGCCGTGCTGGAGAATCGCGATCAAATGCTAGTCCGTCACTTCCGGTAAGTGCAAAACGTTAGTGTTCCATTTAGGACAGCACTTACCCATGGTAGTGTGCACTACAGAAGGAAATGCGCAGTGTGCACTACGCACTACATCTCAGTGCACTGACGCAAGTGCGCGATTTCGGACACACCCACTATCTTCCGGGACTGATGACGGTGGAAACCATTTACGTTACAAAGGAATAAAAAAACAATTGGATGGAAAAAAACATTCACGGCTGGGTACACACAATAGACTGTACATATACATACATAATTTACCTTATATGCACAGTAAATTTAAAGAAATTGGCGCTGATTGGTTTTTCGACTGTGACTGTCAGGAGGAGGAAGACTTGGCCGCAGGAGTGAGTCGCTCCCGGCCTCCTGGCCCGCCGAATCCCTCCTACTCTGATGATGAAGATGACTATGAGGATGAAGAAGACGAAGACTGTAGCAACACCGATGCACACAGCAGGTCAGGCAGGGGCAGCAGTGACCTTATTATTATCTAGCAATATTTCCTAGATAGCTCATCTTTCCAGTTCTCAGTTTGCTTGTTACATATATGAGATGTCCAATTTCCTGCTTGCTTTCCCATTCACACATCATCATGATGAATAATGAGGCTAACTGATGGCTGATCTGCTGGGTGTAAGCGGTTGTGAGCGGTGGCTATTGGGCACCCCCTACAGGTTCAGGAGGAAGACGGGCCTGAGACCAGGAGGCCGGGGCCTGGAGGGCCAGCTGGCTCTGAACGTGCTGGCAGAGAAGCTGAAGAAGGAATGCCAAAGGAAGGACGTGTCAACACCACTGTCGGTGCGGACGGAGGGCCGCACTGGGGGGATCTGCATCACTGCGCCCTCGCAGCCCTCACCCACGCCCAGCAACGAGAGCACGGACACAGCGTCGGAGATTGGCAGTGCCTTCAACTCGCCACTCCGCTCACCGCTGCGCTCTGCCGCTGCCACCAGACCCTCCAGCCCAGTCACTTCCCACCTGTCCAAGGTGATATTTGGGGAGGAGGACGGTCTGCTCCGCCTTGACTGCCTACGCTACAACCGTGCTGTGCGTGAGCTGGGGGGCGCTGTCGGCTCGACGCTACTCCACCTACAGGAGGACGGCGTGCTCTGCACCCTTGCCGCCACAGGTAAAATGGGCATTTTCAGTCAGATACCCAGCCAGCTGCTACTCCCTGTATTATTTATGGGGATCCTGTCATTGTTTTGGACCTTAGTGTTTCACTGTCAGATGTTCTGCCGCCTGCTGTTAGTTGCTAGTAGTTGTGTTTATAATGTTTGTTTCTTCTCCTATGCCAAAGCCCGTATTTATAGCCGCTGTGCCTTAGGCAGATGTGCCTTGAATGATGGTTTCACATCCTGCTGAACAGGCTACCTTATCAGTAAGGTGTCCAAGGGAGGCTTACAGGTCAGATTTCATCGCTTAAGCAGCCAGTTGGTTTGAATGAAGTTTAGAAATGCAGGATAAGATTTTGTTGTTGACTAGATCTGACTTACACATTGGATGCTCTTAGTAGGTATTGCCACATGATAGATGTATGTCTGCATTCTGAAACTGCATGTAACAGACCTAACACGTGTAAAGTGTAAAAACTTTCCACTGAGTGTTAGAGCTTGAATCGCTGTCTTGTACGCATCAGTGCATAATGATGAATCGATTATTAAGATGGTGGTTCAGTTACATAAATCAACAATGTCACAGTCAGTTATAAGTGAGTTTTCGGGGCAAAATCCTACTTACAGATACTCCTACTTCTAGGTTGCATGGTCTCACACTCACATGCTGCAAAGTAGCAACTCCAGCACCCAAATTTCCAAGAGTACGATGGCAGGGAAAGTCTCATCAATATTCATAAAGGAATTGCTACCTCATGATCTTTGCACTACGACGCTTTTGGGAAATGCTCCTTTTTTGTAGCACAAAAAAGTCATTCTTTTTGTTAGCTGCAGTACCTATAATCAATACTCTGAGGTAGCTAACTAACTAGCCAAGTGAAAAGTAATGTTAGCCTTCGAGATGCACAATATATTGGTTAACGTATCGGTTTTGGCCAATATTCATAAAAAATCAAGATACGTGCATCAGTCCGATGCGTGAATCTTGTTCGATATTGCTGGCCAATATTAAACATATTAAACTTTATCAATATTCAAAGTTAGCAGCGCCAGAGCTAAAGACACATCTACTAAAATAATGGAGATGATGGCATTGGACAATCAGCCGTTTTCCGTAACGGAGGATGAGAGATTGAGTCTGCTCATTCATCACTTAGGGGACCACCACCTTCTCATTTTCAAATGCAGCTCAGACAAAGATATATTGGTTAGCAAAAAAGTTTTTGGATTACCAAAACCTAAAGATAGAACAATTATTTTATTTGACAAGACCATATAACAAGTTAACCAGCAACCACAGCTTATAAAGCAACCACAGACAATCACAGTACAATAAGTGTATTAGACAACAAACAAAAAAGAAATGTGTTATTGGGGGGGTGTTAGATAATGTATATTGCAAACTCCACAACCCTTGAGGACACGGAATGTTTTCAATGCAGTAGACCCACACGAAGGGGGCAAAAAAAAAGCACTGCAGAGAAAGGTTGAGCCATATTAATAAATGATATGACAGCTCTTTTAAAATGAATGTTACTATATTTATTAAGAGCTACTATCAGTTTAATACTATCAGCGACACAGCCAAGGAAGCCAGCAATTTACACAACACTCAGGGATACACCCTAAACACATGCATTACCAGGGTTGCCAACTCTCAAAGATCTTGGTGTGACCCTCATACTCAACAGACTCTCTCACTCACGCAAGGAATTTTATGGCAAATCTGTATTACGGTAAGTTAAAACACTCATTACAAAATAACGTTTTTGGCATTATCTATTCCCTTTTTTGTCTAGAACACAAATATAAGATGACACCACTTTTTCAGACATATTTTGAGGGAAAAAATCCCCGCATTGTATTCGGGTCAACATGGTAGTTACAATTAATTAATGGTCATATTTGTGATTTTTTTTTCTGTGAAAAAAGTTTGAATAAGTAATCTAATTGAATCACCTTGGGGAAAATGATTTACACCCCTACTGTCTTGGCATATACACATAAATGTAATCTTGAGCCATAGACTCCATTGGACTGCAAAACGTCAAGTCCGTCTCCTTTGTTTAGGAGATACTCCTGTGGACGGCATCAAGCAGAACCCTGCTCCAAGACCAGTAGAGGGCATCAAGACAGAAGACACAGACGACGGTGCTGAAGTGAAACCCAATAAGGAAAGGATTGAGCCTCCTGAAAACAGCACCCCCTATAGGCCGGCTGGGGAGAAGTACTCCCCTAAGGTAATGCGAGTCTGGCCTTGTCATCCGCTACCTACAGTGTGCTGTCACAGGCCAGACTAATGTTCACTGCGTGTCAGTAAATGGTGCTGGGTGAAGGCCAGTGTAATCAGACACCCGACACGCAAGGTTCCCAGTGTCCATCGTCCATCTACCTCTCTCATCCCCCAGTAGCATTTGGAAATATCAGCTGGGTAGAGGTGCTTTTTTCCATTGGATGTAATGCTGCGTGTCTTCCAGGAGCTGCTGGCTCTGCTGAAATGCGTGGAGTCTGACATTGCCAATTATGAAGTGTGTCTCAAGGAGGAGGTTGAGAAGCGGAAGAAGTACAAGGTGTGCTCTCTAAGCCTTATTGGTCACGTTTAGTACCTTAAGAGGTGCTTTGCTCCCAGTCCTTGTAGGTTGACATTAGTGCACCTGGGTGCTAATGTGACCTATGAAGGTAAATTAAGCATTTGGTTAAAAGAATATTACACTTGTCATTTGTATTTTGGTTCAGATTGCTGTAGCACGTCCTTGACAAAAAACAGGCTTTCTGTCGGTCTGCTGCCAGCCTCAATAAATCATTAACTGGCTTTTATTTATTATAGGGAAGAATTAATTTCTCATTATAATTATCAGTGATTAACGCGAAGTTCACAATGTGCCTGCCTGGATGTTCTGCCCAAACTCTAAAAAGCTTAAGAAACATCACTCGCCTTAATTGTTATTCAAATGAATGGCCTCTGTTGGTATTTAAATATATATATTTTTAAATGTAGCTGCCATTTCATTTTTCCATCCTCTGCTTTTTCTCCTTTCTGATTGATCTCTTTCTCCTTCCCGCCAGATCGATGACCAGAGGCGGACCCATAACTATGACGAGTTCATCTGCACGTTCATCTCCATGCTGGCTCAGGAAGGTAACAGCTCCCGCCTCACCCTACCACTACCTGTCCTGCCTGTCCTGGCTGCACCCCAGTGCCCTTACGGTCTCCCACCACCTCTCCCTGCTGCTCCGCCATGCGTTCCCGATCTCCCGCCTCCTGTCCCAGCGCTCTGCCGCTCTCCCGCCGCCTGTCCCTGCATCCTCCTGCTGCCCATCCCTGCGTCCTCCCGCTCTGCCACCGCCTGTCCCGTTGTCTTCCTGCTCTCCCACGGCCTGTCCCGTCGTCCTCCTGCTATCCCACAGCCTGTCCCGTCATCCTCCTGCTCTCCCGCCACCTGTCCCGGTGTCCTCCCACTTAGCCGCCTGTCCCAGCGCCCTGCCGCTCTCCCAGCGCCTGTCCCAGCATCCTCCCGCTGTCCCGCTGCCTGTCCTGGCTACCCCCCAACACCCTTCCGCTCTCCTGCCACCTGCCCCTGTGTCTTCCCTCTCTCCCGCCGCCTGTCACGGTGTCCTCCCGCTCAGCCGCCTGTCCCAGCACCCTGCCGCTCTCCCACTGCCTGTCACGGCATCCTCCTGCTCTCCCACCGCCTGTCCCGGCTACCCCCCAACATCCTCCAGCTCTCCTGCCGCCTGCCTCTGCGGCTTCCCACTCTCCCGCCACCTATCCCGGTGTCGTCCTGCTTAGCTGCCTGTCCCAGCATCCTCCCGCTCTCCCACTGCCTGTCCCAGCTACACCCCAACACCCTCCCACTCTCCTGCTGCCTGCCCCTGCATCTTCCCACTCTCCCGCCACTTATTCCGGTGTCGTCCTGCTTGGCTGCCTGTCCCAGCATCCTCCCGCTCTCCCACTGCCTGTCCCAGCTACCCCCCAACACCCTCCAGCTCTCCTGCCGCCTGCCCCTGTGTCTTCCCACTCTCCCGCCACCTGTCCTGGTATCCTCCCGCTCAGCCGCCTGTCCCAGCACCTTGCCGCTCTCCCACCACCTGTCCTGGCGTTCTCCTGCTCTCCCACCGCCTGTCACAGCATCCTCCCGCTCTCCCGCTGCCTCTCCCGGGTACCCCCCAACACCCTCCCACTCTCCTGCCACCTGCCCCTGCATCTTCCCACTCTCCCGCCACCTATCCCGGTGTCCTCCTGCTTAGCTGCCTGTCCCAGCACCATGCCGCTCTCCCACCACCTGTCCCAGCGTCCTCCTGCTCTCCTTCCACGTGTCCTGGTGTCCTCCCACTTAGTCACCTGTCCCAGCACCCTACCGCTCTCCCGACGCCTGTCCCAGCATCCTCCCGCTCTCCCGCTGCCTTTCCCGGGCTACCCCCCAACACCCTTCCGCTCTCCTGCCACCTGTCCCGGTGTCCTTCCGCTCAGCCGCCTGTCCCAGCATCCTGCCGCTCTCGCACCGCCTGTCCCGGCGTCCTCCTGCTCTCCTGCTGCCTGTCCCGGCTACCCCCCAACACCCTCCAGTTCTCCTGCCGCCTGCCCCTACGTCTTCCCGCTCTCCCGCCACCTGTCCCGGTGTCCTCCCGCTCAGGTTCCTGTCCCTGCACCCTGCCACTTTCCTGCCACCTGTCCCAGCGTCCTCCTGCTCTCCCACCGCCTGTCCCGGCGTCCTCCTGCTCTCCTGCTGCCTTTCCCGGCTACCCCCCAACACCCTTCCGCTCTCCCGCCACCTGTCTCGGTGTCCTCCCGCTCAGGTTCCTGTCCCTGCACCCTGCCACTTTCCTGCCGCCTGTTCCAGCGTCCTCCTGCTCTCCCGCCGTCTGTCCCGGTGTCTTCCCACTTAGGTTCCTGTCCCTGCACCCTGCCGCTCTCCCGCCACCTGTTCCAGCGTCCTCCTGCTCTCCCGCCGCCTGTCCCGGTGTCTTCCCACTTAGGTTCCTGTCCCTGCACCCTGCCGCTCTCCTGCCGCCTGTCCCAGCGCCCTGCCGCTCTCCCGCCGCCTGTCCCGGTGTCTTCCCGCTTAGGTTCCTGTCCCTGCACCCTGCCGCTCTCCTGCCGCCTGTCCCAGGGCCCTGCCGCTCTCCCGCCGCCTGTTCCAGTGTTCTCCTGCTCTCCCGCCACCTGTCCCGGTGTCCTCCCGCTTAGCCGCCTGTCCCAGCGCCCTGCCGCTCTCCTGCTGCCTGTCCCAGCGCCCTGCCGCTCTCCTGCCGCCCTGTCCCAGCATCCTCTCGCTCTCCCACTTCCTGTCCCAGCTACCCTTTAACACCCTTCCGCATCCTGTCGCCTGTCCCAGCATCCTCTCGCTCTCTCGTTCCCTGCCCTGGCTGCCCCCTGTCACCTGTCCTGGTTGCCCCCCGGTTCCCTCCCGCTCTCCCGCTGCCTGTCCCAGCACCATGCTGCTTTCCTGCCGTCTGTCCCAGCTGCCCGCCTCTCACACCTTGACATGCCTTTTGTCTGACAGGCATGCTGGCCAGCCTGGTGGAGCAGAACATCTCAGTGAGGCGTCGCCAGGGCGTGAGCATCGGACGACTGCACAAACAAAGGAAGCCGGATAGGCGGAAACGTTCACGCCCATACAAGGCCAAGCGCCAGTGACCCCCCCCCCCCCACATACACACACACATACACACAGGGCCTGCTAGGCAGCCTCACATAAGGCTATCCAGCCATGACACTGCTCTTCTCACCACCGCCCAGCACTGACTGGCAGTTACGTCACACCTCTTCCCGCCTTGCCCAGCCAATCAGGATGGACCCCAACCCCCCCACCCCTTATTACATGAGCTGGAAGTGAGCACTGCCGCAAACATGAGAAACTAGGAAATTCAATTTTCCCTTTGTTTTTCTAACCAAACGTTACCAAGAAGGATCATGCATTGAGATGTATAAGTGTATTCGGTGATTCATTTTGACCTCTTGTCTGTGTGGGTTTATGTGATATGATCATGTCTTTCCAATGGTGCCAATGCACTGATACATTTAGTGAACAAATGTAATTAAAAAGTCTGATAGACTATTCATTTGTGTTTGGACTGAAAGTGTTTTTAATACCTTTTACAATTTTTGAATATTACTGTTTAATATCTTACGGTCAGTATGATTTTAAATGGGTTCGGAGCCTGGCGAATGGTGACTTAGCCCTTGTCATGGGGTAGATCCTGTCAGCCACTTCAGGACTGCCTTCCCGTTAAGCTCCCGGTAGACAAATAACCGCAGTCTACTAGGTGATTGTGTAGACTAGGAGTCTGGGCAGTTTAAATTGCATAAAAGATTAAATCACCCAGGTTGAGGTTAAAGGCCTATGGGATGTGTCTTGCACCTTGGCCGTGTGCAAGTGGCCTCTTTTCTTTTGCTGCAGTCTGTAAGGGGCGGGGATGTGTGCATGGAGCTGTATTTCTTTCTGTACGTTTGTTTTTCTGTACCAGCTTGTAGCTGTTATTTCAGTTTTTTTACAAGACACTGTAATTTAATGCAGTAGCGGAATGCAGGAGTTTTTTTTGTCAAAATAAAAATGGAAATCAAACAAACAGCAGCAGAAAAGATTGACTTTTATGTATGTCTGAGGTAGTGTCACCCTCTAGGCTCTGCCTGGGCCTGTCCTCTGGCCTGTGTACTCAGTAAGTATTTGTAGTAGAAAAGACTGCATTCAGATGGTTGAGACAAGTTCCCTCTTTTTGTGATTTAGATATTTATGCTCCATCTGAGAGAATTGAAGTCTTTAAAGGAATCTTATCTTGGAGATTTGGTCCTTGCAAATAACAGATGATAAGCAGTGTTCCTCAATCTGAAAGCCAGCACAAAGCTCACAGACGTTCATAATTAGAAGACTGGTCACTGTCGCTATTGGAGAATCTTTGCTGTTGTACTTTTAAGGAAGACGCTTGAACATCATTAATAAGAGAACAGTATAGCTGTTTCTCTAATTGATGACTAGAAAACTCGTTGTGATGGTAAAATCAATGATTATGAGAATCTTACCTGAAATGACCTTAATTGAAGACATGGCTCTCTGAATGAAGATCAGGGGTATAGTGGACAGAAGAAGCTGATCAGATTTTAAAACCAAATGCATATGTGCGTACTCTCACGCCCTGGACATTATGGGGTTAGGGAGGGTTTTAGCGAGTTATCCCTACTGCCCTTGAGACCTTTGTACCTAATCTCAACTGGCCAAACTTCATCGGTCACCTAAGGCCTGTAACATTAACCAAGAAATTGTTTCTAAATATATTGCTTAGATGAAACCTTAATTACAACCAACTATTATAGGTGTATGCTATTCATTTTAGTCCAGCTAGCCTGCATCCATGTTGTAATACAATAGTCCCACTGCAGGTAAAGTTCATGTTATATATAAATAATTTAGCGGCTGTCCAGTGGCAAACCATTGCTTATTAACATGTAACAGTCAGGGCCTTACTGTCCTGCAATTTATAGAATGTTTCATAAATTGGTACAAAAAGATTTTCAGCCAGTCATTTTCCTGATTCTACTCATCTTAAATTGTTAAAGTGAAGTCTTTATAGATCAGAAAAATTTGTTTTATAGCCACGATATTGTACATTTTGGAGAATTTTACACGCATCTCAACAAGCTGAATGTTGATTTCTATAGTCTGTTAATAGACAAAGGTTAGAATTCAGAATTTACCTAGTGATTGAGGCAGTGTAATCTCATATTTAGTTGAGTGACTCTAGAACTAGTTTTGAGGGCAAATATATTTTATTTAATTCATCATTAGTCTATTTTTTATTTGGCAATGAAGTGTTCTTGAATTTTTCAAACTGAATTTATGCTGGGTGTGGCTATGGTCCAGTTGATTTTGCTGGATTTTCCCACTAGAGGGAGACAAGTGATTTGAAGTTCAATATACTGCCATGTCATGTTTTCAGGATGACTTGTTCACTGTTTTCTGGGAATGTACAAAGCTTTGCTAGTACAGGGTTTTATTACCTTTGCTTGGGCCACAGCTGGCCCTGATTTCTGTCAGCATCTGATCTGATTCATGAGCAGAGGTGGATAGTTCAGGTCCCCAAAGTAAAAATCCAAGTTATTGTTTCAACCAATCAGTTGAGTATAAAGAGTCAGAGTCACCGAGTACTCAGCTGATTGGGTGAAATAAAATCATGGCCTGGGTTTTTACTTTGTGGACCTGAACAATATACCTCTGCTCATGAATAAGGCTTCTCTCTGTCTGTCACAGCACCAAGTTAAGGTTGTTTTTTTTATCATGAAATACTTTTATATCCTGATATTTCGCTTTGGCAAATCCTGTCACACATTCAGTTCTGGTCCTGCAAAAATACAGTCGATCCTTCTACATCCTGGAGGTTAGGGACGTAAGTCCGCTGCGATCTAGAAAAACCGCACAAATATTTTTTGGGTCCCCTTGGCGAGCAGAGCGAAAAGACATGAGAAATGCGAGATATCACGTGAAAGACTGCCTTAAACACACGTGGCGTCCTCCAAGCCAGCACTGCACTTATATTTATGTGTCATCTGCAGTTTTTGCAAAAGTCCCATTTAATTTTGTATGCCAACCACACAATATACCAACCACAATGGAGAAAGTTGTGGTGCAGAATGGTCGACTGCACATCCATCTACAGAAATTCCTGTAATTTGACATAATCAATGGCTGAACTGCCAGATTGCAAAATGCAGACAAACCCAGGGCAGTTTCTAGCTATCGAAAACATCAGGAACAAAGAAATTTACCTGGGGCTTGACAGAATTTGAGTGTAAATTACAGTATATTGCAGCTTATTACATTATACACCATTAGAAAGTTTCTTGCCTTGTGCACATTCAGCCATACACGCGACAGGTAGGGCAGCATCCGGTTAGGCTCATCACACCTTCTTATATCATTCTGATCCTTTTACAGCAGGGTTTCAAACTCCAGTCCTGGGGGGCCGGAGCCCTGCATGTTTTTGGGTTTCCCTTCATTTAACACAACAGATTCAACTCCTTGTGCTAATTACCTCACAGCTCTTGAGCTGAATGATTTTTGGTGGAACAGGGAAAGAATTAAGCCACACATGACCAGGGGGTACCCAAACCTTGTGCCCTCTGCTGCCCCTCAATTCTGACCAGGATAAGCTGTTAGAAGATGGATGTTTGGATGGATCAGCCTTATAGTATTAGTGGGAAGTAGTTAAATACTGGATCAAATGACAACTATACTGCTTATCTTCATATTCAGGTACAGTGAGAATGTGAAAGATGGAGTCTTTCATGTAGAATTTGTGTGCAAACAAGTTTTCAATACTGAAAGCGATGCCCTACTGCCACAAGTGCAGCTATCATGTAGCTGTTGGATATCTCTGAAATGCTCCCAGCTGTGGGCTTCCCTATAACGGCAGAGTATCATCTGTGGAAAGGGGCCAACCCAGCACTGGTGCTTTGTTGAATCGGCTAATCTGGGATCATAAAAATGACTTTTCACATTCATGTTAAGCTTCATCTCTTACATCAGTTTTCCCACAAAGCATATTCTGTGCAAGCTTTTAATAAAATGCTAGAATAATGTAATCTCAGGGATGACAACTTTGGTCAACTGCCGTTAGATTTTCAATTTGTCTGCAAGCACATTTACATGTATGTAAGAGTTGTAGCAAATAGTCTGTAGGGTTTGCAAACTACCCCACTGATTTGATGTAGCTAATTTTAGGTTTATAATGTAATAACATACATTTGCACTAAGATTTATTGCGTGAGGGTGAGTCTGGAAGTGTCACGCCAGGTGTTTGAGTTGGCAACCCTATAATTTTCTAAGGACCTCATTAAATGTATAGCAAGAAAACCAGCATATATACACAGACTATCAGTGGAATTTTGTAAACGATATCTAATATAATATTATACATTTTTTATAATTATAAAAATTCCACCCCTCACATAGTAGGGTGATCCTCCAGCAACCGGATCACCCTATAATTGTCTTTATAATACATGATGCTTTGGTACTTGTTTAACTCCTTATTTCTCACCTGATTTGTATATACACTCACCTCAAGGATTATTAGGAACACCATACTAATACGGTGTTTGACCCCCTTTCGCCTTCAGAACTGCCTTAATTCTACGTGGCATTGATTCAACAAGGTGCTG